TCAAAATCGTTGCCAACGATAATACGAGTTCTCTTAAGAGATAGTTGATCCTTTTTAAGGAGAGCAACGATAAAAGTGACGCTTGCTAAGCTGTCAATCCTCATGCATCGTCATTATTTCTCTCTTACCCAGTAAGTCACTTCAAGTTACATGAAACAGATCCTGCATACTAAGTATGACACATACTAACCTTCAAGATATTTATACTTGACAAAATCATTTTCTGCGTTCAATTTCTTACTCTTGCGGCTAAGTCGGGAAAACGAAAGCAAGATCGACACTATAAAAGATATAGCAAACCATATTAAAAACCTATAATTACACCAAGAAAATACCTGAGTTCAGTTCAGTCGCTAGCCAGTTTTACTCGCAACTAGAAGTTAAAGGACTTACATGAACGTATTTTTGTAAAATATCAAAACTTTCACCACTTTGACGTGTCGTTTTACACTCTGGCAAGCTCCTCACAGTTTGCTATAGAATTGCTTTTCTCAAAAGCGAGAGAACTGATCAGATTTCGGTTGAATGGTGAAATATAGTAGCATACAAATCCGGCTGAAAATGATCTTTAGACTTCCCAAACCTTCAAGGACTTGTTTCCATGTACTACTAATATTTTTTTTTTTTTCCAACGAGTGCTTCTTATTGTGCGTAAGTGTTTTAGAATTCTGATAAGATATTGGGCATTAGCAAAATACTTTGAAATAATGTTTTTTTCATTCTATGTTTTACTACTAGAAACAAAAGTCGTCACAGATAAAAGAATGGCCTATATCAACTTTGAGCGTCGCAAGTTTTCCTACCTCAACGTCACCAGTATTGATTTGGATTATGTTATGGATGACAGTGACTGTGGATTTGCCTGTATCAATATTTCGTCATGTTTCTCTTTCAACCTGGCCGCATTTTATGATATCACTGGTAAAGCTCTGTACGAATTGCTTCCATCGAATATGTACAGCAATTCAGACAAACTTATCCCTTATCAGAGTCACCATCACTATAGTATCGCAGTAAGTTGTAATAAAATTTGTTCACTCTGCATCAAAAGTTGCAAATGGAAAAGGAGAGGAATTACACACGATTTCGTGCGTATGGAGTGGGGTTGATTGCAGAAATAAGGAGAGAGGTCATTTGAGCGTAAAACTCATCAAGGATTTTGTGTATTAGCGGGAGAGGTCAACTAAGAGATACTGACTCGATTTGTAAAGACGGCTTATAATAATATTTATTATGACTGTCGAGGTTATTCCACATCACCCGCGTTTATTTCTCATTGATATATGTTTTGCTTTAGTCTCCATGTATCTGTTGACCTTGTCAGAACCATGGGAAATGCGCTCCATAGTACGAGAAGAACAGTTAGGTGTGTGTTTGCGCGAGAGGATACGCTGGGGAACATTGTGAAACGGGTAAGACACAAATAAGTGTACATTTGCAAGACTGCTTCAAACTTAACTGATGGTATAATGCTATTCGCCAACAAGAGACTGCCCCAAATCTTAGTTGTTTACCACTATCCTGCTGCTACTGTATATTTCAATATTCTCCTGTTAATTTACCCAAAGGTTAATTTCATTTTTCCTTCAGATATTGACGAGTGCAGTACTTCCATTCGGCCTTGTGACGTTAATGCAGACTGCCACAACACTAACGGCTCCTACAGCTGTTCCTGTAAAAGCGGATTTATTGGGAATGGAAAAAACATGTACAGGTAAACCCTATTTGTTGTTAATCTGTTAGTCATAACAATGTGAAATGCGCTGCGCAGGACGAGAAAACGTACAGTTACGTGTGCCTTTGCGCGAAAGAATACGCATGAGAACATTGTGTGACTGGTGAGACACACTAAGTTAATGCACGTTTTATTAACTGCTTCAAACTTAGCTAGTAAGTAAGTGAGTTTATTTTAACAGGGTAGCCCATTCATGAACGAGGCTGGTATCCATAGGGGCCCTGGGTAATAAAGATATGTACAATTAAAAAATTTCCAATTAGAAAAAAATTATAAAAACTCTAAATAACATTTAAAAGGCTAAAATATATAAATAGATAAAATGTTTATAGATTTCTAGAGGATAAAAATTACAAATAAAAATGTTTAATCATCAAACTTTTCAAATTACTCAAGAAGGGGGCACTCTTGATATAAGCGGATGATGCGTTAACATAGATTGTATACTTTAAAGTTCTCTTGGGGCAGGTCGTTTCTTCAAGTCGCATGATTATGAAAAGTCCTATTCCTTGCTAAAAACTGAGTAAGATATTTTGGAACCAAATTATTTAAGCACCTAAAAACTAAAATACATTTATGCAGTTTCCTTCTAAAGGTTAAACTTAACCAGTCAAGCACGTGGAGAGTGTCCTTTTGAAGTTTTCCTTCGAAGAATAATTCGAGCCGTACGGTTTTTTAAGCGCTGAAGCTCTTTGCAACATCCGTTCTGAGATTTCACTCCAGGCGACATCGGCATAGTCAAATCACGGCTGCCCGAGTGAAGTATATACCTTTATAGAGGCTTCCAGTTTGAGACATGATCGTAAACGAGTCAGAAGCCCAAGCTGACTAATGACCTTGCTTCTCACCTCCTCGACGTGATCTTTCCAAGAAAGTGTTTCGTCCAGTACAACACCCAAATAGTTAAATTTGGCTACCCTTTCTAAGAACTTTCCGCGTAGGGGAATACAAAAATTAGGCGATTTGGCAAGATTTCGTCGACTTACTCTGATTTCAGATAAGCTTGTCACTTTCCATCCATTCCGCTTCTCGATTTAAATCATCCTGTACTACCTTATTTACCTCCAAAGTGCAAGCACTCGTAGAGTATACCACAGTGTCATCCGCATACATAATACTCAAACAGTTTTCTGAGCACTGAGGCAGGTCATTTAGGTATAAAACAAAGAGAAGAGGCCATAGAATTGAGCCCTGCGGAACACCAAACTGGATAGCTTGGTTGGAGAACAAGTCCTTTCTAAAATGCACCCTTTGTGTTCGTTTCGTAAGATAGTCCCGGAACCAATCCAGAGTGCTTCCTCTGACTCCGTAGTGTTCTAACTTGTTGAGTAAACATTCACGGTCTAATAAGTCAAAAGCGGCTTCACTTGTTGGGAGGAAGAAAAGTTTACTCTCATTTAGTTGCGTACCTACCAGCTTCCAAACGCGAAAGGTGACCGTCTTCCGAAAGTATTTGGAACTTTCTTGAGAAATGAAGCACCATTAGACAAGTTAGGAGGCAAATTTCCACGGCGCCAGATGAACACAACCGATTGGTCATTATGAAGCTCTAGCTCTCTAACATATTTCTCTTCCACGACCGGAAAATTGACTCAGAGCTTAGTTGTTTAGCGCACTGCTGTCGTCATCGTATACTTCCAAACTCTCTTGTTCATTTAGCCACTTGTTCATTTGGGGACATTGTGTAACTGATGAGACACAATTTACTTTAGTGTAAATTTACACGGCTGCTTCATACTTACTTGACGGTGTAATTCTCCTCCTCAATCGGATAGTGCCTAAAACTTCAGCTGCTTACCGCTTTCCTATTGTTATCATTGATTCCCAAATTCTCTTGTAAATTTACCCAAAGGTTAATTTCCATTTTCCTTCAGATATTGACGAGTGCAATGCTTCCCTCTGGCCTTGTGACGTTAATGCCAATTGCCAGAACACTTATGGCTCCTACAACTGTTCTTGTAAAAGTGGAAAAACATGTAT